CCCCCCCCCCCCCAAAAAAAAAAAAAAAAGGATAAAATTTAAAAATACATCAAACTAAAAACAGAACCCATTTTCCATATGATGTAAGGGCATCTCTAGTCCTTACTAAAACCATGATTCATATGTAGATTTCAGAAGAAAAAAAAAATGCTAAAAATAAGCTCCAGTGTTTTACTCAAACCCATACCAATGAAAGGAGACTTAAATTTCTACTCAACCCAATGAAGACTCAATTTTTAACTTAAATCTCCACGGTTATATTTTCTCATCCTTTATGTATTCAACGCTTATATTTCACCCTCCTCTATATATCTCTTTACACTCTCTTTATCTTTCTTATTTTTCGATCTCTATTTAAAATCATTGATAAGTTCAAATTCAACAACATGACTTTGCTAAAGCACAGGTCCTTCACTACCAGCATCATTTGTTAAGGGTTTTTTAATTCTAGCAATCAAGGATTATGTATTTTTTTAAAAGGTGACGGAAAAAAATATAAGAAATAACAAAACAAAAGAAAAATGAAACGTGAAGGCTTATTTATAGGAACCGGTGGTGGAATTTAATAAGGGTAAGAGTAGCAATGTAATGGAAATAGAAAGGGAAAGAGATTTGAAAGTGAATGAATACTTGCAATGAAAAGACATTTTGTACGGAAAAAAAAAAGTAGAGAGATGAGAATATAATAAAAATTAAACAAATAAATTGTTGGTAGAATATAAAATTTTTAAAATATTTGAGTAAAAATCTAAGTTTGTCCATTAAAGTGTTTTATATCAAATCAAACTTCTTACTCAAGTTTCAGTACAGATTTGAGTCATGATGGGAGATGAGCTAACTTATGAAGTTATAGGATCCATAATTAATGAGACGTCTTATTGGTGTGGCATGTTCAGTGATAGACTTAGAAAAGAAAATTCTGAGATAAAAAATGATAGAAGAGATTATAGCAATATATCAATCCTTCTGAATTTATATGTACATAAATGTAATTCTAAGTATCAACACACATTCTTGATTCCTGACAATTTTATATCATTTTGGAGTGCAACACCATATGCAGCCACATAACTGGCAGTAAAGTACCTCAATAAATTCATTTATCAATTTTCTTAGAAAAAAAAGTATTAGACTATTAGATATTTTTTCCAACAAACATTTACCATACAAGTATTTAGGAACAACAAAGAAGTCCCATAAATTTAGTGAGTTAAAATCTCATTTATTTATTAAATTCAAGAAAACATAAAGGCAAGGCAATAAACAAAGAAAGCAATCCACAAGAAGAGTGTGATTATGACGAGCCCGATTGGTGCCCATAGCAGACAGGTAACAACACTTTTTAGTTGTGTTTTCTGTTGTTGGTCTCTATGTCATACCTTCGCTACAAAATCAACATTCTCACAATCTTAAAGAATGAGGGGGAAAATCACCTTTTGTATGATTTTCAGCTCAACTAAATTTAAAATTGGTTTCAAAGAATGTTCTGAATCTCAAAATCTGGCCACCCAATTACAAAGTTAGCCTATTTCAGTAACCCGTCAGTAGTTGCCAGCAATAAATTGGTTGCTTCAAGTAACAAAAATCCCGTTCTTCCAATATTCAATTCTTTATGAACTAATCCAGACTGTGAAAGTGTGAATTGATTCATTATACATGTCAAATTCCATGGTTCACATTACATAGTGGAACTCAAAGTCATTACCAGGAAACCCCTATAAACATAAGACATATATACACACAAAAGAACATCAACTTCCTGAGTTGCAACACAAACATAGGACTGAGTACAACAATTTTGCAATTCTTTCTGACATGCCCAAAGCGCATACAGTCCTAGTAGATGAACATAAACAAATGAAAGATTAAAAAGGGAATATTTTGATAAATTAACAGCACAACAAAAGACAAAATGTAAATGGAAGTTCAACCGTTAGAAACTTAGAATCAACACACATATAACTTTCAAGCATCGATAAAATGAAGACCCAACTGAAAAAGAAAAGAAAATAGAAACATAATCCAAGATATCAAACTCACTTGACATCAATATGATGCTAATTCAACACAATTGACACGATACACACACACATATACATACATCCACAGAGAGAGAGAGAGATTACAGTGAAGGTGGAAAGGATCTGGGCGACAGAGGCTTGAACCGATGGGAGGAGTGTGGAAGAGGGGAGGATTGATGAGCAAAGCGAAAAAGTGAGTTGGGGGAGTGACAAAGTGGTGGAGTTGTGTTGCAGTACAAGTACAATGGCGTCATTGTTAGAGTTTTATAATCCGAGGACTGTACAGCAAATAAATGGGGAGGCTTTTTGGGATGCCCATTATTAGGAGGGTGCACCCAATCCAAGTGAATAGGACAAAAAGGATGTCACAATCGCTGTTTTAATAGGTGTTTTTATTATTTTTTATGAATCATTTTATAACAAAAAAAATATTGTTTTTATGAATAATTTATCTTTTTTAGGGTACTTCAATTAATATTATGGTCATTTTTATTATTGTTATAGTAATTATTTTTATAAGTAATTTATCATTTTTGTAAATATTTTTATTACTATTATGTTAAAAAAAAGTTATAAAAATATATATAACAATGATAAAATGATTCACAAAAATGATAAATAGCAATATGGTACAATTTTTTTCCATTATAATAAATAATTCTATTGTAACAATTATATTACGTTAATATTAGTAAGTGATGTAATTGTTTAATAATTGTTCAATAATTATATAATTTAAAACTAACTTTTATTCATAATTTTTCATAAAAAAATTAAAATAATGACCTAAAACAAAAATATCAATAATCGTAGTTCAAAATAAAAATTATATAAAATTAAAAATTTAATAATTTAATTTATGATAAAAATAAATAATGAGATAAAAATATGTAAAATACATAAGAAGTGAAATTTTATGTCCTATATATTTTCTCTCCCAAAACTATCACATCACTCATTTCTATCACATGTTTAATTATTTAATATTTTATTAATTTTTAATTTAATATAATTTTTATTTCAGACATTATCCGTACAAGATAGTATATATACATGTTGAAAAAATTTTATCGAATTACGTATTTTGAAAAAAAATTATTAATATTTTTTAAAAAATAATAGATAAAAATAAATTTTATTTAATATAATAAGATCAATTTTTGAGAGGCTTCAATTTTATGTTTTTTAGTGATTTATTTTTTTGAACATAAAAAAAAAATGCGCCATAGACCTTCCAAAGTGGATAAGATGCAAAACTGCTTTCTGTCGTCTATTCAATTTTCTTCTCGAATTAATCTTAAAGTTATCAAACAAACTTGAATTTCTATCTCACGACCCAATAAAAAAGTGCCACGTAGGCATAACACTGGATAACACTCCACAACCGGTGAAAGTATAACTGGACCTTCAAATGTCCAATACTCACCAATCAGTCACTGAAAACACCATCTTACACCATTACCTTTACGAAAACAAAGGCCAGTGCCCCCAAAAAATAAGAGAGTCACAGCAATGGCGCTCTCTGTTCTCTCCACCAATTTGGTCCCTAAAACTTGCTCTACAAAGCCCGACCCATGTGGAACAAGGGTTCGAGTGTCGGGTCAGAGAAACCCATGTTCCGTTTCTTTCAGATTCAGTATGTACCATAGCAGGTTGAGCTCAACTAGGTTGAATGCAGCTGGGTTTTCAGAGATAGAGCCTGACCTCAATGAAGATCCTATAGACCGGTGGAGAACTAATGGAGTTGAACCGGTTTGTTATTATCAGGCTCTTTATTTGAATACATATGAGTGTGTTTATTTAGAATTGAAACTTGAAACTCTACCGAGTAGTCGGCGAGCGGGTAAGAACCCAGATTTTCTTGCCCAATATTTAGGTTCGAGTCTCAATAGTTCCGATAGCTCATTGGCGGGGGGGGGGGGGGGGGGGTGTT